GACATTTGGCCATAGCACAATTAATTTCACTATATTGTCTCTACATTTGTTTCTCAGTACTGAACTTTCCACAGTGTGACAATCAATACAAATCACATGTTAATCTAAAATACCTTCAAAGTTTACTTTACGGTTTAGTTCTTGTCAAAGGTTTACCTGCATTTTTTTGAGAGGCTGAATTGTAAACAAAACACCAGGCAACGGAATACAGATTTCACTTCCGTGTCATCACCATGACCTTATTACTCAATGTGCACTGTCGCCGAAATACACACACAGACAACCACACCATAAGTTCACATTTTAAAGAAAAAAACAATTGCCTTTAAATCCTTACCAAGAATGCCAAAATCTAACTCTAGTATCACCACCAAATTTAGACAGGAAAAAGTGATCTAAAAATAGACTGGGACTACATTCGGATTTTATTAATTGTGTACTGATTCCTGATAGGGTCAATGTTTTTGTCAAACTTTTATATTTGCATTTTATTTTGCATGCCACTACTGTTTCAACTTCATACATACAGTCTTTTGAAATTTCCTTGCAAGCAAGACATGTTACAGCTGTCAGAAAGTGTGTAGTGCTGGTGTTCTATAGGGTGCAATTTGAGGTCCAATTGTTTTTATGAAACCAAAACTAAATTTGCTATATCTTCCTTAATTATAGGAATTTTTCAATGTAGTAAAAACCTAATTGTAATACATAATAAGGCCTGTCTGATAATAGTCTTGATATTAAAAATTATTGATATATTAAATTTTAATGGAAATTTAAATAAATATATAAATTTTAAAAACTATTTATTTTACACAAATTAAATTTTCATACAAGTTATGACATTCAGTTTGACAAATTTAAGGCAGCAAAGTTGATTAATGAATGGTGTTTAACACAAATGGTAGTTTAGGTCTGTACAACTGATAATATTAATCCCAGGGGTACTGAAGCATGATAGCTCACAATGATTTTGACAGCAAATTGCAATATGCCTATCCAGATGCATATAGGTGTACATACTAAAGAAACAATGACAGGTTCTATGTTCCACATTTATTGTTTCAGGTACTTGGGCAGTTGTTTGCATAACTAATATCCCACTCAAATTTAAAGTTTTAATGGAACCACGAACATGTTTTATAGCAAATATGTATTCCATTTTAATGCCAATAACTACAAAAGTCAACAATGCAATATGAAAATACAGTTTCAGGGAGATTCCACCTTACTGAAAAATAATGTGAATCTCTCTTATGAAGATCTAAGCCATGTCTTTGAGATGCTGTATATCAGTGTACTGATATGAACTCATCTTGGTCACTTATAGCAGCAGATTGCACATGTCCTTATGAGACCTTGCTATCACCATTAGACTACTGTAGAGCTTCCAAACTGATCGAACTCTAATACTTTGTTCCAGATACCAGGCTAGACCTGAAAAGATATAACATGTTTCAATTAATTCTAAAAAAACCCCCAGAAAGATGTAGAAGAAGAAGAAGTCAAAATGTGTTAGATATGGTGATTTCAAAATAACATTCAGGTTGCAAATATGGTTGAAAAAGGTAAACTTGATAGAGTGACACTCAAAGATGTGAAGCAATGGGCATGTATTAAAGTGACAAATGCATCCTAAAAATAGACGAAGTTTCTACAAGCATATTTAGCCATTTACAGGTTAAATAACTAATCAGGTAGAGTATGTATCATAAAGTTTAAGGCAATGTTGGAATGGTGAGGTTTGATCATTGGTGCAAACATTGATACATACCAGTATAGTGGAAAGTCAAATGACAATGTACCAAATTAAAATTTATTACTATATGCAATCCTATTCATGAAGGAAAAACCATTTTAGATATTGCGAGTGAATATAGCAAAATGTGGACACACAGATCAACTATAGGTACCAATAGATCCTATATCACCAACTTAATGTGAAATTTTCATCCCGAAAACTTGTAAACAAGGATGGATATTTGCATGTGTGGGACATATGCAATGCACTTGTTAAAATCACATGTGCAAACATGATTCATCAAATAATCTGTTTGAACATTTTTAGTCTATTTTTAAGAGTCTTGGCTACCAAGTTATTAAGTTCAATGATTCAATGATTCAATGGAATCAGATATCAGCTGATGCTGCAATACCGCCCTCTGTCAAAGTACTAAATTGAAATGTGTTACCATACAGAGGCATATTCATGATGAAAATAACATCTTGGGATATTTTAAGTGAACTCAGTCAAAACTGAGCCTTACAGATTCACTATAGGTACTATGTCAGCCTAACAATGTCAACTTTTGATTCCAAACATTACAAAATATATGCATATTTGTTCATGTCAGCTATGTAACCATGTTAGGATCAGTTGTAGACAGTTAAATTCAAATAATCTGTTTGAATATTACTTATGTAATCTTTAAAGTGTCAGATAACAAATATTATTAGTCATTAATAATGCATAAAGCAAAATGGATCATGAGAATTCCCATAATATCATCTGGGCCACAATGTCGCACTACATCAATCAACATCTTAAAGAAACTGAGTAATAAAATGGAATGCATTCTGTGTTCAACTTACATCATTTTGCTGTTTTCTTACATGCAATGATAAATATACCTAGGAAAAGTATATTTTACCCCTCTGACCTGTATTTCATTCTCTGACAGCCTAATATGATTTTGTAGAGAACTTGAACAGGTTCTAGTATAAAGTCTTCATCTCTGTCCTCTCAATAAATACCCTATAACTATGTTTATAAACAATTACTGATAGCTATACAAGCAGATATATGTTACTCAGGAAGTCACCCCATCATAAACACATAAATAAATTTTGACTAATAAAGATATTTTCTCTGATCAAATTTGACAAATATCCATCATTTGAGCTTGTATATGGTGTAGGAGTATATATATATATATATATATATATATATATATATATATATATATATATATATATATATATATATATATATATATATATATATATATATATATATATATATATATATATGCTGATATCATTTAATATCATTCAAAAAAAATATATGTGTATACTTGGTGGAAATTTTTTATTTTTTAATTGTTTTTAAATTTCATTTAAAGTTTTAAAATTAAAATAATTTTTTATTTTTAATTTCCTTTTTATATTTTTAAAGTTAACATACATAACATATTAAAATTTCATGTGTATGTCATTAATAATAAAAATTTTATATCAGTATCAAGTTTTTACTGACAGGCCAGAGTACACAATTAATTTCTCTATATTGTCTCTACATTTGTTTCTCAGTACTGAACTTTCCACTGTGTGACAACCAATACAAATCATATGTTAATCTAAAATACCTTCAAAGTTTACTTTACGGTTTAGTTCTTGTCAAGAATTGACCTGCATTTTTTTGAGAGGCTGAATTGTAAACAAAACACCAGGCAACGGAACACAGATTTCACTTCCGTGTCATCACCATGACCTTATTACTCAATGTGCACTGTCGCCGAAATACACACAGACAACCACACCATAAGTTCACATTTTAAAGAAAAAAAACAATTGCCTTTAAATCCTTACCAAGAATGCCAAAATCTATCTCTAGTATCACCACCAAATTTAGACAGGAAAAAGTGATCTAAAAATAGACTGGGACTATATTCGTGGGTACTGAACCGGATTTTATTAATTGTGTACTGATTCCATTTAGGTTGCGAGATTTGTTTAGTCATGTGACTCAGAATGAAAATGGCGACTTCCAGGTCAAATTTCATCAACGCTGTAGTTTCAGCTAATCTATCAGCGGATTAAAGCTATAACGAATGCTATACTCGCTATATCTAAAAAAAATAAATCATATTCCTATCGATTTCATGCAGGTATATCTTGATGAAAGGTCGTCAAAGTTTGCTAGACCGGCTAGTAAGCGGTTACCTTATGCCGACACCAAATGGTGTCGGCGAATTTCAACATTTCGACAGGGAATGGACTCCAAACCTACAGCCGAACATAAATGTCCAAATATCAAAAATGGGTCAGAGAAAAACTCGGACTAAATATTATCATACCGATTAGAAGTTTAATTCAACATTATCGAGCGCCTTTATAAAGTATTTTTCCAGCGTTTTAGGCTAATAAAACTCTTCAACAGCAGAGAAATAACTTGCAAAAACTCAAAACAAACACGAAAGCTAAAATCTGTAAGAACACCTGGGCTGTGTGCTTGTTTGACTGATAAGAGAAATCTACAGGAAAATAGATAAATATTGACATCAGACGAGAAACAGTATATAATTATCAGAACAGCTAACGTTATCCAAAATTAACGGTTGATGTGCGGTGATCCGTGTGAAAATGTATTTCATGTACGGTGAAGGAAACTTTTTTGATTTTATTCCAAGTCAAAAATAAAGGACGTAAACCATGCGTAACGAAAAAAAAAAAACGCCGTATGAGATCAGAAAGTGCAATATGTTCAAAACTTGATATCCCCGTCAAGATAGGCGTAGAGAAGGCAGTAAATATGCATATGTCATGAAATTGATTTAGCGGGATAATAATAATAATAATAATAATAATAATAATAATAATAATAATAATAATAATAATGATAATAATAATAATAATAATAATTATTATTATTATTATTATTATTATTATTATTATTATTATTATTATTAGCCATATTATTATTATTATTATTATTATTATTATTATTATTATTATTATTATTATTATTATTATAATATAATATTGATATAAGAATTTGATTTTTAATGTAGCTTTAACAAATTTTCAGTCATATCGCTACGACGTCTGCATTGTGGCAGTTTATAGTGATGTCTAGCACTGGGGCATCATGCCGCAGACACGTAGCATGGTGTCCCACCCAGTCACATTATCTTGACACCAGACCGACCAGTTCTAACACTAACCTCTTAATGTTGAGCGTCAAGCGAGGCAGCTGTTAGTACCATTTTTGTAAGTCTTTGGTATGACTCGACCTGATATCGAATCCACGACCACCCGCATCTGAGGCGGATGCTCTAACCACTAGGCCACCGGAGCTGTTAAAAAAATTAAATAATAATAATAATAATAATAATAATAATAATAATAATAATAATAATAATAATTATTATTATAATAATAATAATATGGCGACGATACACGGACGATAGGGAATTAGTATTGCAAACATTTCTGGGACGATATACGGACAAGATATATACGGATAAATGGCACAACCTAGGTATTATACAGAAATGGGGATTTGTATAGGACAAGAGGAATGGGACAGGTAAGATGACGTTACGATACTGGACACTGTCAACAATGTAGCAAGGAACTATCCTAAACACGAGCAACTACTCTAGGGAGGTACTAATACAGCAGAGACAAAGACATATACAACACAGCCATAGATTGATAACATCAATCTATCACACATAAAATATAAAATCGACGAAAAGAATCTTTGACGCAAGAGAGTAAATATTTTAGAGCAAACATATGCTATCAAAATCGACTACAATTTTTTTTTAGGCAAGGAAGAATAAATCATTTCGAGGCAATTGATTGGCCCTGAAAAGGTCCCTTGGGTTTTTCGTCTTTTATCTTCTCAACTTGTTCCACCAGCTCCTGACTTTTTGAATGATTCCTTTCTTCTTATTCTTTTCTTCTTCTGTCATGCAGTTGTTATCAATGTTGTCAATCCATCCGTAATATAGAATGCTTCAAGATTCGGATTATAGTCGGATTCAAGATTTGGATTATAGTCGCATTCAAGATTCGAATTATAGTCGCATTCAAGATTCGGATTATAGTCGCATTCAAGATTCGGATTATAGTCGCATTCAAGATTCGGTTTATAGTCGCATTCAAGATTCGGATTATAGTCGCATTCAAGATTCGGATTATAGTCGCATTCAAGATTCGGATTATAGTCGCATTCAAGATTCGGATTATAGTCGCATTTACCCCTGGCTCTAGTAATATAGAATCTGATATGATCTGTTATTATAGTCAGGTGTCCACTCGCGTGTATTATGACTAGTTAAAGCCCTGAAAACGGCTAGTGGCCTCCCCTCCTTCCGAGGCAGGGCTCAAACGTGTCTCAGTGCTCGACACTTTTTGCCCCAGAGCGTGGGCCTGATAGCCCCCTCCCCGATGGTTTACCACCTTCAAGCATGGACGTGAAAGAAAATATCCCTTACACTCACTTTACATATTATATACTATCCACACAAACGAAAGTGAAGGCATACAACACACCATATTATATATATATATATATATATATATATATATATATATATATATATATATATATATATATATATATATATATATATATATACTATCCTCACAACAAACGGATGAGAAGGGGGAAAATACATATTATATACTATCCATGCAAAAGAAAGAAGAAAAAAGCACACATATTATAAACTATTCACACAAACGCAAAAGAAGAAAAATACACATGTACTATCCACACAAACGAATGAGAAGAAAAAAACCCACATATTATATACTATCCACACAATTGGATGAACAAAAAAAAACATGATATACTATCCACACAGACGAAAGCGAAGATATAAAATGCACCATATATATTATCCTCAAAAACGGATGAAAAGAAAAAAAACCCACATATCATATAATATCCACACAACGGATGAGAAGAAAAACATTTATATACTATCCACACAAACAGATGAGAATAAAAAACACATATTATATACTATCCACACAAATGAAAACGAAGGCATAAAACACCATATATAGTATCTTCACAAACGAACTCTAACACAAAACACACATGCACACACATATGCACACACACGCACACACACACATGCACACACACACGCACACACACACACACACAAAGGAGATAGTGTTTATAATCGCACTACTCTACATACAAACAAATTGTCAGCTTGAAGAGGAGTCTCTTTTATAGAGATCTGGTTAGCCCTGAGGAAGGCTGTTTTTTTGTTGAACTTCAGATGCACGCGGCTAATGTCAGTACCTCCTACGTCTGGCTGCACACACGCATCGCTGGCTCCAGTCATTCTCCCAATTTACATTTGTGATTGGGAGCGCAGACGGAGATTGAGTGGCTTCACTATCCCAATCCTCCGTTTGTGGGATAGTGAATACTTATTGTTCTCTCTGTCCTCAATGACAGACACAGGAATGAAAATCTGGCCTCCTTACCTCCTGTGATTTTGTTACCGATGGTTGTGGCTGACGTTGCTGTGGTGGTACTGCTGCTGCTATTGGAAGTATCCTCATTTGATGTTTTTTTGTTCTCCAAAGGTCGACTGACGATTTGATGTGTGGTTAAATGAACAATATTGTTTGGATGGTAAGTACACACTTTAAAGTTTTCATCCTGTCCAGAAAGCAAGGCTTTTTTTAGTACGCCAAAGATTGCTACTAGACTGGTGCAATAATTGAGATTTAATCCTTTCACTTGCGCTTCGTGTGCACTTCTCCTTGGGTATCGCGGTATTCCTTAGCAGTAATTCATGGGACCGCCACATGCACAACTTAGAATCTTGTCGTCGGGATGTTCGTCTGTCCATGCTCCTAAACGGTCTCCTTCGATTTTAATGTGCTTTTTACCCAAAAGATTGATATAGATACAACTATCCTTTTCAAGGTACAGCACACGATCTCTTAACAGTTCTAAAGCTTCATATGTTTTAAGCACACATATGATGTCACGTATGGCGCAATGATGACATTTCAAAATTAGTCGGCTTATACAAAGAGCATGTCCTCACGAATGAAGTTTACAATTTCATGTATTTCCTTTTAACGTGTTTCATCTGGAAGTAACATAAAGTATCTGTCATATACTCTATCTTAAGTAAACACTGTTGCTGTGCCATTTTACCACAAACAATTTAAAATCACTTTGACAAACAATCGCCTTCCCTAGTTTATCTCGACGTGGTCTAAAGTGACACCTTCCTGCTCCCAGTATTTCTCTTTGGATTACTTTTGGCCTTCGAGAGTGTGGCTCCAGGAAAGATAGCCATTGGCTTCTGTTTCAGTTTCAAAAGGCAATTATGTTATCTGCAAAAATGCCTTTTGGGGTCGCATCACCATAGTGGTGTTTTCTGTCTTGAGAAAGTAGTTAATTTCGTACACTTCTAACAGTTGTTATCCCATGTCCAGAGCTTTGAACAATTCCACGTTGATGTACGTTCCCGTCAAGGCGCGTTCTTCCTGGCTGTGATGACAAGTTCGGTCTTGGTTGCAAGTTTCGACACAGGTAAGACACAAGGAAAACATCATGTTTTCTTGGCAATGGTGAGGTAAAACGGGATGGTACAAGTTCGTGGATGTCAAAACTTTACATTCAAAGAATCCTTCGTATTGCCGAATGTGGTGCACATCGATGTGTTCCGTCTGCAATTGTGGGTGCCCTGTGGGAGAGCGACAACATTAAAACACGTTAGGATAGAGCAAACACACGTTCAAGTATTTGATTTTTTCTCCTTTCTCCTCGTCGGTTTGGTACAGCCAAAAGCTGGCATTCGTCCGTCCTCCGTACAAACTGCCCAATGGGTTCAGAAAATCAACCAGTTTGTAAGTTTTTACGACGCGCTTAAACTCGGGTTCGGTTTTCAAACAGTGATAGTACTTCAAGCGCTACTGACATGTGGCTTGATACAAGTCTTCCATGGTCCGTTGTAAAAACTGATTTGTTGTGTTGGATTCATTTGTCTTCCTTGTCGCACAAGTAATTTAACCAACGTAGGGCTTTGACCGAGTATTGACGTTTGACAAAGTTGGTCGCTTGAGGACTCGTGACATCTAGTTATTTTCTGGCATGGATCATGGGCGTTACACCTAGGAACACGCTTTGGCAATGGTGCAAGCTTCCTTCAAAATATCGGTCCCTCCGTGTTCCATAAACAGTTCTAGAAATTTTCCACATTGACACCATAAAATCTCCACGTCGGAACAATACTACTTTAACATTTCTTCCTGAAAGCCGAAGGCGTCCGATGTGTGATTCAGGTAGAAGACGTAGAAAGTTTTTCATTGTTCAGTACGCACGTTGTCGTGGTCGTAGCAGTGATCCTCAGGCAAATGGGGTAGAACGGCGTGTTCATTGTCTTCGGTATTGAAAAGGTGCGGGAGATCGCCTTTGGCCATATGTGATGCCAAACGTTTTAGTCATTCGACTCAGTGTCATGGCTAAGTAACTCATCTAATCTTTAAACTGCACTTGTCACACTTGCATGTAGATCAGTTTTGCTCCGTTCAAAGTGACTTTAGTGCGTTCGGTACTTTGTTTCGTATATTATCTCAAAAGAAGTTTTTCATCTTGTCCCTAGAAATTGTGAGCCATCACCGTGGCATAACGATGACAATCTCTGTAACGTTCGATGTCTTCTTGATTCCGCGTCTTTTCTATTGGATCTAAGATACATTGGGCTAAATTGTTATGGGTGCTCGGTCCCCCCAAAATTTCTTTACGTCCTCCAAAAATCTTTCTACAGTGAGGGCAATGAGTAAAGATGGGTTCTTGGATGTACTTCTCACACGCTCGATGAGCCACGTATAAATTAGGAATGCGAATACATGTCTATTGCATGCATTGAAAATCTAAAAAGATGAAATTGCCTTTCTTCTTCTTATGGTTATCTTCTTCCTCTTCTTGTTTGGATTCGTATTTTGGAATGTAGCATTATTATTCCAAATGCACGGTTTGGCGACAAATGTGATATCCTTTCTTTCCTGAACAGACGTGTGCCTGGCGTTGTTGGTACATATGCCTTATCCACAAGTAGGACACACTCTCAGAGCTGACAAGCACATTTCTGCTGTGATACTTCTGTCTTTAGATATTGGTAACAGACAGGGCGGACAAACGTTGGGAAATGCACTCGTTCTTGTCATTCGTCAAGATAAGATTTAGTTGCTAAACATCCTGAATATTTCGATCCACAATGCTTGTGTTGCTCTCAATTGTTATAGCCATAGTCACATTTCTCACAGTAATAATTGTATCCTTCGAATGCAGTGATACTGGTGATG